TATTCCATCCCAGTATGAAGATTGCAAAGGCAGAAAACCGGTTCACAATCTCTTATCCAAAAAATTCTGAAAACAAAATTTGTTGTTGAATGTGAAACCTGACCAGAATTGATACCTTCATTTTGCACTTTACTGGGACTGCATGGTCTTCTGCAGAAATACTGAGGTTTCGTTACACACTTGCCATAGGCTTTGCTGGGGGTGTTAGATGATACAGAGTCTATATATATATACACACCATACTTTATTATATGAAGTTCGAATGGCTCTGAATTTCAAATACACCTGCCCCCTTGAGTTTGGATAAGAGATTATAGAACTCTAATAGGAAATAGGGCTAAGCTTCATGTGAGTGAAAACCTGTTCAAGTGTGGATCCTTTCTTAATGGAGATCTAAGTTTCCCGTCTTTTTAGGCTGAAGCAGTCACGAGAAAAAAGGTATGACCCACATTTCTTTATATTCTGTTGCTATAGTGGACTCACAGTTGTACTCCACTGAAGGAAATACTCTACCATTCTAGTGTATGTAGTGGTATATTCAGTTCTTTGGGGGTAATTTTTTTTTTTCAATACTTTACAGGAATATTGATCAATATCTATAGGAGAAGCTGGGATTGGCATGAATTGATGCAATTATAAGGGAACATCCGAATAAATAATAATCCTGGCAAAAATTTGCTTTAAATAGGGGCCCAAGAAGTTGCGGTTATACTTAAACCAGCACTTACTCCTGTGATTGAGGACTTTGGGGATGCATCTTGGTAACTTCAAAAGCTATACCTGAAGGTGGTTGTGATTTTGTAGGAATCAAGGAATTTTTCTATTAAATCACTTGGTGCTTCTGTAGTAGCCCCCCCAAAAATAGTCTTTTCATGTAGAAGTTAATAGGCAGAAGTAACCTCATAGTAAACATTTTAGTAAGTTCTTTCAGCTGGATTATTGGAGAGAGAAAATTTATGCATGCCTTTGCATAAGGAGTTGCTGTTTTAGATAGGTGTACAAAATGACAGATAGATGAAATAATACTTAAGATCTTGAGTTCAGCAGATTCTGGGTGTTTTGTCTTTATCTCTTAAGTACAAAGGAGTTAACATTGAACCAAGTTAAATGTCTTAACTCCTGCTACCTTGTGACTTAGTCTATCAACTGATGGTAGTAGAAATTGAGAACCTGTAGAATGCTGTACTCCTCTTCACCAAATATGAGCAAGACAAAGGGATGCCAAATGTCTAGTAAGTTCTTGTTTTTTCAACCATGGTCTGTTCTACTCTGCTATTGGAGTAAATGCTAGGGAAAACCTTGTAGCCACTAGAGGGAGCTATTATATAATAAGTAAACCAGGAGAGTATCCTTACTGCAAAGAACCCCTAAAACAAGGTGGAAACCAACTATCTTAATTCTATCAGCTCCAAAGTTAGGTGGGGTTTTTAGGGTGGGTAAGTTTTCTTCCTGTAATTGAACCTCTGCCTTCTCATCTGTTGAGTAAGGATCCATTTAGGTCTTGAACAGAGCTTTTAGTACTGAACCTCTAAAGAAAAAAAAAATAGGTTCAGGGACAGAGGAGAAAATGCTGAAGACGTGAATCTACTTATTGTCCTGCCTCCCCTGTACACCTACAGGTACGGACCAGTAAGGCCAGAAGTGTAAGAATTGGGTACAGGAGTAGATGTGCTGCAAATGGCAATCTAGGCATAAAATTGATCTCAGGAAAAACGAATATACTTTCAGATCTTTGTCATTTGTTTTTATGGCATGAAACATTTCTGGAATCTTCTCAGCATTACTAAAATACTTAATGATTGTTAGTTAAAACCCTGCTTATTCATCAAGTTGACTGTTTATATTTTTGTTTTCTAGGCCTTGCTTAACTAGGCACAGTATCTTGTGATCAGAAAGTCCATATGCATAGTTCTCTTGTCATGTTTAGTTAATGCCATTTTATATTAAGACAGCTGAAAATTTTGGGGAATTAACACTTGAGTATTTGTCATTTCCATCATCCCCTTCCCTATGACCTTACATTGGCAAAAAATGTAAAGGACACAAACTAACCTCCTGTTTAAATTCACTAAAAATACTATTGAAGTTTCTTAGGCCCACTTGATCTAATTTCATCAAGAAAATGGTATGGTAGTACTCTCCTTAAAACATTAATGTTAGAAACTTGTCTGCTTTGAAGAATAAGATACTTAGAGTAAATAAAAGTATTTTTCCAGGAGAGAGAAGAAAATCAAGTTCACACAGTAGAGCTTGTCTGACTGACATTTTCTGTGGCAAGTGAGGCCACAGAAGGTGGTTGCTGACTAGCAGGCTTGGTGCAAATTGGATTGAGAATGCTCTAGATTGGTTATTTCCTATCCTTAATCCTAGGAATGTTAGCTATGAGGTCTCAATTTAACTTGTGAGGAGACACTCTAAAACCAAAATTGTACAATTGAAAATCCAGCATTCCCTTTGTAAAAGAAAAAGGCTAAACTTGGAGATTGTAAAGTGCCAGGGGCATGGCAGGATTGTGTCCTGAGTTGCTGAGTATTTGGGGAGCCTTAACACCTGAAGTTTGGGATAAGCTTTCAAGTTGCAGCAATGATGGTTTAAAACAGGAAGAGACTGCTGCATCTGGTAAACAGAAAACAACCTACAGCCTTTAAATACGACTTGGAAGTCCTAGGCTGAATCTCTTCTGCCCTTAAAGTAGCTTGCTTAGAAATGTGATTTCTACCATCTACTGTATGGTCAGTGAATGCCAAGTGTGGTTAGAAATTCATTAATATCTTCATCCCAAACCCCAGCTGTCCACCAGCTACTGTTGCTAGGGTAATTTTTTTTTTTTTTAATGAAAAATTATCTTCTCACTTCTATAGTTACTTGAAACCTCAATGCTTGGAGGTTATTCTTAGAAATATGGCAGCTGAGCCCTTTAGTAACCTAGCCCCTAGCCTACCTCTGTAGTGTCATCTCTAGCCCTCCCCCTGATAAACTCCATATCCCAGGACTTGACATTCTCCAGCATTTCTTATATTTGGTCCTACTGTTTTCTTCCTCCTGCAATGCTTTCTATCTGCTCATTTAGAGAAGTATAACTTAACACTGGATAGTACCTCAAAAATCACCTCCTGGAAACTTAATACCTACCATACAGACAGAATCATTACTTTGTGTGTGGACACAGACTTGTGTATTTTATTCTAGTATAGCCATGTCACTTAGCTTGCTTGCTTACACTATCCAGCCATCTATTTCAACTTTCTTGCATCATGAATTTCTATTTTCTGAGGAACCAAGAGTGTCTGGCACAATAGTCACTATAAGAACTCACTTAAGAGAAAAAGCACTATTGGTTCTTCCTCTGTTCCCAGAGTATTGCTACTGTATTTTAAAACTGCCATTCTGCCTTGATTATCAGTGAGTTGTTTATATATCGGTCTTTTCTAACAGGTCGTAATCTTTCTTCCTCCCCCTTCCAGGTACATAGCACAAAATAGCTATGCACTGAATAGACACTCAAGATAATTATTCAATTGCTTTGGAAGAGAAACCTAGAAATTTGAATTATTTCCCGTTCTGAATATCTTGAATAAGTAACCAGTAAATATAGGTCTAAATTTCTTTTGTGTCTAAGTTGGGAATAAATCTTTAATTGATATTTGTTGTGTAGTAGTAGAAGTTAAATATTTGTATGTAACATTAAAATATCATTTTCCATTCTGTGACCTCCTGGAGTGTTTCTAGTTATTTTTGGAGACTTTTTTTTTTTTTAAAGGAATTTGAATTACAGAATAAACAAGTGACGTCCACATTTTAAGATATGAAATGTTGATTAGCAGTACAGCAAGCACACTACAACAAAGAAAACTAAAAATGGCTCCTTTGTCCTCTAAAACTAGATACTAAACTTGCACCAAGGTCATAGTTAAGTTCTATGACTTTTTTTTTTTTAAGATTTTATTTATTTGACAGACACAGCGAGAGAGGGAACACAAGCAGGGGGAGTGGGAGAGGGAAAAGCAGGCTTCCTGCAGACCAGGGAGCCCAACGCAGGCCTTGATCCCAGGACGCTGGGATCATGACCCGAGCCGAAGGCAGATGCTTAACAACTGAGCTACCCAGGTGCCCCTTAAGTTCTATGACTTTCTGTATAACCAGTTCTTAGCCACAGTACCATTGTATCTACGACTTGAACTATAGTTTTATTTGCCACATCGAAATGCTATTTAGTTTTGTGTTCCATCTCCATTTGCCATACCAGCATACTTACCTGTGTACCCAGATTCATTACTGAAGTGTTTTAGCTGGTTTCACAGACTCCAGTATCCATCCTGGCCATCAAGTCTGATCTTCCTAAAACATTGTGTCAACTCCCCTAATACAAATCAACAATGGGTTATAGTCTACTTTTCCAACTTACCACTATTCTGAATCACATCTTCCCTTGCTCTGGTTGGTCTGGTAAATACTGACCATGCTTGTTTTTGCTTTGGTGTGTTTGTAGGCATTTCTTTCTCTCCTCACTTAGCAGTCACCCTGAAGTTTCAAGTCCTGATGAGCCTCAGTTAAACCTAATTCCTGAAACTAAAAAGTAAATTTCTAAGCCCATATAGTAGCTCTCTTCTCTGATGCATTTCACAATCTTTTTTATTACTGTTGAAAGTTTCGTGTTAATTTTTCCTGCCCAGTGAGGTTTCTGTAGTATTTGTATCTCCCATTCAGCCAAATGCAGCGCTGACAGTTTAATAAGTGTTAAGAGATAGAAAGAATTTTTACTCCTTAAAAGCAACACAATAGAACCCTGTTCACAAACTTTTGGGTAACTGGGTGGATTATTGGAGAAAACAATTCTCATCTTAATACTGCATCAAATAATCCCTCCTCAGATGTGATGCTAGGAAGTTCAAATTTAAATGCTAGCCTAAGGGTGCCTGGGTGGCTTAGTCTGGTTAAGCGGTTGAGCATCCGACTCTTGGTTTCAGCTCAGGTCATGATATCTGGGTTGTGAGGTTGGGCTCTGTGCTCAGCCCGGAGTCCACTTGGGATTTTTTCCCCCTCCTCTGCCCCCCTCTCAAATAAATGCTAGCATAAGCCATGTATGATGGGGGAAGTAAATGCCCCAAAGATGAGTCTTGCAAAGTCAAGAAGAAAGTTTGTCTTTTGCAAGCTGTGCATACTTTTTGAGTATTGATCATCAAGAATTGGTACTGTTGTCTAAGAGTAGAGTGGTTCCCTCTTGCGGCTTCCTCCTGTGTCTCCTTTTTACATCATTCTTAAGCATGATTCTCAACAGAAGAAGACTTATATTACTTCCAAACCTAGTGGTCATACCTCAATGAGAATTCCTGCAGATTTGGGGGTTGGATTATTTTGGTTCTTTCTTAGTGAAGACATGGGACACTCCGGTGGCATCATAGGTGAAGGCATTGATAGGTGAAAATTAATACAGAGTTTAGAAAATGGGTCATGTAGTTCCTTGGTTTGGGAGTCAATGAATGTGACTCCAGGACTTTGACCCTGGTTACTTAATTGTCTCAAAGCCAAGGGACTCAACAAACCTTCCTTCCCCCACACGCATACCCTATAAGCATCCCCATTACTTTCATCTCTTAATTTTTCCACCCCTTCATGGTCAGCTAAAGGCTTAAACATTCTTGGACTAATTGCACTATATTTCTGATTTGCTTTTCTTCATGTTTATATAGTGTCATGTATAAAGTATGTATTTGCATATTGTATAGTTTCATGTATATGTGTTTTGCTTCCCCTGGGTACATGGTAAACTCTGAGAGCAAGCACTGTGTGAACTTTTTGACACTTATTCCAAGATGGTTGGTATGCTAATGCACACCTTAATGTTTATGAATAAATAATGTTCATGAAATCCTAGGCGGGTGCATTGCATATCTTAGATAAAGTAGTATGGTCTTCCAAACATTGGGCCTATTTCCAAAGTAGTGGCTTCAGGGTTCATGCCCTTACTACTTTTTTAATGGAAGGTTTTAAGGGAAAAACGCAAGGGCATGAGACAAATACCTTATTCTCAAGGAAAGTAGTAGCCAACGTCCATGAGATAACTGATTCATTTTAATGCTCAGCTGATACTAGCCTCATTTTGCAGTTTGAGGAAATAGGTTCAAAGATGTGAAAGTGACGGACCCAGAACTTGAATCCTTGTGACAAATTTATTTTACTACCATTCTTTTTTAAAAGCCAGCCGTTTACAGTGGGGTGGTTTATAGGGGCAAGTTAAATCTTTGACTCGTGAACATCACCTGTAATATCCACCTGATGCCACCAGGGTGTCCCATGGTGCTGTCTTTGATCGTATTCCTACCCGGGTTGCTGGAGGCTGTTTTGAAGCAGGAGTTCATTTAGACTCTGGCTGAGGCCCAGAGCTCAGCAGCAAGAAAGTGGGGTGTTCAGCTCCCTGACTTCTAGTATGCAGTACCGAGCCAGCATCAGAGATGCCCTTGCCCTCTTTTAACCCTCTTTTAACCCCTCCAGTCAGGCTGGCCTCACAGGACAGCAGGGCCTGGCTAGCAACTCTTAAGTAGGCAACAGCCCCACAAAGGAGAGTAGCTTAGAAAAGACCCCATGGATGGGTAAATGTCTATAAACATATGCATTTGTTCCGGTAGCTGAGTACACACACAAATTTATACTAGTAAAATCGATCCACGAGAGAAAGATTGAATTGCTTTACTTACCACTCTAGAAGAATTTTGAAAGACAATGTGTGTGAATTCCCACTTTTCAGTTTGCAGTAAAAATCTACTTAGTCCTGAGTATACAACCCCTTAGGCTTGAGTTTTGATACTCCACAATCCTACATCATAATCTTTGGTGTCAAAACTGTCACGTGGGAACTAATGAGGTGAAGTCTCCTACTTTGTATTAAAGAGCACAATACCCTCAAATTTTTTTTTCTTCCAGCGCTCTTTAAGCACTTTATACAAATGTCTAACGAGTCTATAATTCTCAAGTTTTGATTTCTCTACTGGAAGAGATCCTTAAAGTATCCCCAGTGACTAGTATGGTTCCAGGCATTTTAATATAGGTGTTCAATAAATACTTGCATACTGAAATAGCGAAGCCTCCATAATAGTTACAGGATAGTTATACATATGAACCATTTCTCTAAGGAAGAGAGTCTACATTAGGGATAGGGACGTCTTTGATGTGTCTTTGATGATTAGAAACCATTATGAACTGGGGAAGTAGTCCCTGGGGTGTCCTGACTGGCCTTTCGAAATCTGAAATATCTTTTTCTGGGTTGGAATTAGCACAGCCTGAATTTGACCTTACCCATGCAACATCTAAGACTGGGTGTTCACCACGGCTCTTAGAGCCACTAGGATAGACTTACTAAATTAGAGTAAAGGTTACTGACGGGAGATGTCCGGTTGGTGGTGCCCTTTCCCCTTTCTGCTCCCTGCCTACCCAGGTGTGTTTCCCTTGTCAAATTCCCGTGGTTTTTCAGGAAATCATTGGAATAAATCCTAAACCTACCTATAGTAGTCCAGCATCCTTTTCAATTTTCTCATCTCTTTAGTGAGAGAGCTAATCACAGATTATAGTATCAATTTAGACCCTTCCATGTGCTTTGCTTAAGTGATTAGAGTAACTATCTGAGCTAAATTAAATCTATCAAACAGGGGCTTCCTCAGCCTTCATGAATTTTGCTTGTGTACTATGTAAGGGACTGGATGAATGTAGGAATAAAGGTTATCAGTTCCAATGCAGATGGTTCTAATGTCCTCGTGAAGCATCACTGAGGGATTTTTTTTCATCCCGTATTATGAATCTAGTTCTAATAGATTGGTCTGAAGATGCTTTTCCATATGTGAAGAGTAAGTATATTACGCCTTTACTATCTAAAGTGCAAACTATTAAAGGCAGAAATAATGTGTATCCTAGAATGCCTGTTTCTGGGATTACCTTACACCCAATGCTCAGGCAGCATTTTCACGGTTTGGATTGACTACTTGCCATCTGCTCTCCTGAGTATTCACTGCTGAATGACAGAGGAGAGAAAGTGAAAGGAAAGGTGCAGTGGGAGAGGAAGCTGGAAAAATAAGAAACAACTGGGAGCTGAGGGGGGCTACTTAATGTAAGGTCAGTAAAACAAAAAGTAGAGGACAGGGTCAGGCTTTGGGGGTAGAGGGCTAATTTACTTTTGTGAACTAGTTGAGGAGAGCCTTGTATGCTTTGTTTAAAAGACTAAAGTTACTTCAGAAGAAAAGTCTAGCATCTGACCCATCTTCCCTGTTTACCATAGTAAATCGTTCAAGTCAAAATCGACACTGTCCTCTAGGAATTCTGGTCTTTGTTCTTCAATTCTAGGAAAGAACTTCCTGCTGCTGCTCCCGCAGTCAAGGGTGCAATGCTTCCAGTAGTGTTTGTGGATAGCTGGTAAGCTTGATGTTTTATTCACAGCTTCAGGGGTAAATGCTGAGTACAGCTGTTGTCCCTGTGTTGAGCTTTAACAAACAGCTTGCCAGGTTCCTGCACCTGCTTTTATGCCTGGACCCAATGACTGAACTTTAGGCAGCGTCTAGTTCAGAGATTTCTCAGGGTCAAGAAACATCTTTAAAGGAGTGAATTCCCGCCCCTGTAGCCTTAGCCAGATTTTATGCGGTTCTGGTCTTGTGTTGCCATCTTTTGGCATTGCTTTCTAGAACAGAGCAGCCTTCCTAAAGCTTAGTCTAGATAGTCTTGTGATGTCTTCTCTGTGTCATCGGTCATCACTGCTCACTTCCGTCACACAGGGAACAATGCATCAGTTCCTCAACACCTGTTTCATTATTCCCTGTTCCCTTTCTTACCAGGAATGGAGGGATCCTCAGCAGAACATCAGACTGACCCGATGAGCCTTTTTCTTAATTCTAGGCCCATGAAAGGGAGAGGAAGGATTAATGACTCAGAAAGAGGGAACCATAAAATCAGCATATACTAATATGCCAACTCTTAAGATTTTAAGAAACAAAATCCTTCCTGAACTCTGGACTACTCCTAAATCTGGTGTGAAGAAATTACTAAAGATATGTACCTATTGGGGTTTGGGTAGAGAATATTCACTTGATTTATGTTTTTGCTCTGCCCCTCCTCTTCACAACATTTGGACAGGCACTAATAAGTAGTAATCTTTGCAAATGAATCGTTTTTCTGATAATGCAGATGGGTAGCACAATTCTGTTCAGTGTTCTTACATCCTTCTTTCAACCAGAGGAATGTGCTTGGGGTGGAGGCTAAAGCCACTGAAAAAGAGGTTTATCTCTGTACCAGAATAACTGTTCGCGTAAGGATTTAATTTATGTTTTTGAATATTAGCATGATGTAACTGAGCTAAGCTTTTAGTCTGGTTCAGGCCCACCAAGTTTGTGTGACTTGTTAGGTATCAACTTTTTTTTCAAGCTTAGCCATAACCCTGAGCTTGGGGCATCTGAGGGCAGGGAGGAACAGGTGGCCAAAGGAGAAATGTTGGTGCCTGAGAGTATGTTTTCCAGTTGTATTGAATTTCTTACTTGGTGTATTTTTGACCTGTCTTAGTTTCTTTCCTTCTGTGTCCTATGCTATTTTGCTTGCTATTTGTTAGATGTCCTCTGTCAGCCATTCAGGAGTTATAAAATGGAAGTTAGTATTTCTACTCAAATGTTTTGTGGATAGAACCGATAGGTTGAGCATTGATTTCTGGTAGCTTCTTTCTAGTAGAAGAGTTAAACTGATAAATGTGTTTCCATGGCTTTGGACTTGTTTTTGGCACCTTGGGTATGTGACCCTTCTTAGAAACTGTTTTAGGGGTGCCTGGGTGGCTCAGTTGGTTGAACCTACTTGAAAGAAAGAAAGAAAGGGAAAGAATCGTGTTTTAAGACCCTCAACTACCAGCTGAACTAGATGTCTACCAGGAAAATGGGTAGATTTGCTTCCTGTACTTTTGTTCTCTGTGACTTTCCAGCAGTCAAGGAACTTAAATAGGTATTCAGAAAAGAAATTCTCCATTGTTTCCCCTTCCTCACCTTACCAGTTAAAGCAGAAGTAACTAGTGATGACACTTTAGGGGGTAGAATTGAAACACAAACCCAACATCTGACCACATGGGCCACAGGCAATTGGTTTAAGCCCTTAGTGTGGTTATGAAGTTGGGGTGGGCTGCAGGGGGGGTGGGGAGATTACTTCTGCTTTCCTCCCAGAAGCTTCCCTGGGTGGTGGTGTTTTTGTTTTGATTGGGGGGATTGGGGGGGGTGTTCCCTTTGGTAAAATGTACTTCCTTTCCTCCTCCATTGCATTGAGGCTGGTAATGAAGGGTAACATTTCTCTCTGGTCAGTGTTTTTGTTGTTTTTGTTTTTTTTTTTGGTATTTGCAAATATTGCATTCTTGGTTTTTACTAGTAGATTGGTTCATTGTCAGTTCTAGCTTTTTTTGCATGAAGAATTAGTACATTAACTTGCCAGATTTGAAGGCTTTTCTAACTTCTTTGAAGTAGATCTTCCCTGCTGAAAGTTTTGGATTTGATTTGTTTTCAGTTTGTTGAGGAGTCTTACTTGGGGACAGGTAATTGACAACAGCAGAGATGTTTTCTATTCTTAGGATTCTAAATCTAATTATAATCCGTAGTACTCACAGATTTTAAAATCCTCTCCAAAATAGGAAGGAAATACCCTGTTGCTTTCTAATGTTTGCTAAAACTTGCCTTTGAAGAGCTGATCATTTTTTTTTTTAAGTATTTAAGTAATCTCTACACACAATGTGGGGCTTGAACTCACGACCCCAGGATTAAGAGTCACATGTTCCTGGACTGAGTCCGCCAGGCACCCCTAGAAAAGCTGATCTTAACAGTCATCGTCCTTTGTCTTATTAGCCTTTTGGCCACTTACCTTAGGGCTCTTTGGAAGAGGTGTGGGGGTGGGGGATGCCTTGGTAGCTCAGTGGGTTGTTTGACTCTTGGTTTCTGCTTGGGTCATTGTTTCCAGGTCTTGGGATAGAGCCCCATCAGCTCCCTGCTCAGAGGGGAGTATGCTCAGGATTCTCCCTCTCCCCCCCCAACCCCCACATCAGGTGGGCTCCTGCACACGGTGACTCTCTAAATCTTTAAAAAAAGGGGGGGGGGCGGGATGAGGCATGGTAAAAAATACCAGTCACTTTGAAAGAAAGAGGAATAATTAACTGGCATCAGTTATGCACCGTTCCCAGCCCCAAAGTTAATCTAGAACCACTAAATAGCACCAAAAAATATTTACTTAGCACTTGTTATATTAGAGGAAATGTTCTAAGCATTTTACGTACATTACTCATTTAATTCACAAGTCACCCCTGTGAGATAGGTATTTATTTTGTCCTCATTTTCCAGATGAGGAAATGAGACCCTGAGGTTAAGTGACAGGTTATACAAGCTGGGGCAGAGGAAATGGGAAAGAGGAACCTAAACAAGATGGGGAGGGGATCTGAGTTTTATTTGGGTGGATATAGGCACACTTTTTTCTTAGGCACCAAATTTTCAGTTCTCATATCCAAAGGTAACACCATTGATTCAACCACTGAAAGTTGTTTACAATAATCAGGATGAATTTACTGTCTTTAGACATTCCTAGCCTTTTGACTGGGCCCCAGTATGGTCTATGGAAGCTGGCTTGTGAAGGGCCTCATTTGTTTGTAGGTTAAGGATATTGACTGTCCTTAGAAATGCCCCTTCTAAGGATGGAGTCTTTGATCTTACTGGTTTCATTATATTCCTCAAAACATTTGGAGCTGATTATTTTTGAGTAATTGTTCCAAACTTTTAGATATTTTCCCATTGGAAAGTATCCTAAGGTTTAAAATTTCATCTGAATTTAAAAGTTATTAAATTTTCTTTTTAAGGGAGAGTTTGGGGAACAATCAGGAATTCTGGTTTCCTTTCATGGATAGAGATAAAATTAGCCGTTTTCCTCAAGAAAAGTGATACTTCTGAATCCCAGTGCTTTAGTAATGAGAACTGGACTGTTTTCACTTGAACTTTACTTCCTGTTAGTGGGAAAACCCCTCTCCAGAGGTGCTGGGAGATTGCTGGAGAAGGGTTTCTAGATCCCAGAATAAGACGTTCAAGAGAGTCCAGCAATATTGTCAGGATAATTGTCTCCATAAGTACTAGTTTTCATTATCCTTAAGCTTCATTTTCAACACAATTTGAAAGGCAGCAAAGTAGGAGAGGCTAAACTGGGGAGGAAGAAAACTTAGTAGTTGAATTACATAGACCTTAAAGTGAATGTGTGTGCAAGAAGCAGAAACTTGGATTCACTGAATGAAAATGAAATAACAGGCAGTGTCCAAGGTCGGAACAGAGGTTTTAGTTTACCTAGTTAATTCCCTAGATTTACATCTTAGTTCATGCCTTATCTTGCATGTGCATATAAACCTGAAACATTTTTTCTCCCCAAAGAGAGGAATGGACATTTTTATGGGAGACCTAGGGGCCACCGTAGCAGCTTAGCTGAGGGATGTGTGAGAAACTGTTCATCATTTTCTGTCCCCTCCTGTCTTAGGCTGACCTGGTCCTTGATGTGCTACCTGCTTCTGCTACTGATCCATACTGCAGAACTTCTCATTCATCCCCAAGGCCTCCAAGCAATGTCCAATAGGGAATCAACTCTAAAAGGAACCAGACCAACGTTTCCAGCCCTTCATTCTGGTGACTGAGGGAAGGAAACAGTGGGAGGGGTTATACATGTGTAGTGGATGGAAGGGAAACACAGACTGTCAAATTACTATATCTCTTTAGTTTCTTTTGCAAATAGAATTCTGCAACCGTATTATTTCTATTGTGTAAGTATAGGGGAAGTTCAAGATGGTGACCTTGATTAGAATGTGTCTGGAGAGGAATAAATGGGAGTGTATGAGATAAGAGACAGTTGGTTATGAAAGATGTTGAAGTCTTGAAATAATGTGACCATCTGAGGAATTTTTTTAAACCATAGTTTATAAAAATATCACTGATACAGCCTGCCCCCTCATTTACCGCCACAGGAGACTTCTTGGACTGGAGACACTTGTTTAATAATAGCTTGTCTCTGATATTCCCAGTAGCTACCTCCCTGTGAGGAAAGGATAGCAAACGTTCAGGACATCATCATACAAAGTTCCAGTAGCAGTGACACCTACGCGGAAGACTTGGAACTGCAAACAGAGGCTGGGGTCACCTCAGTGACATCTGACGCCGTCCAACCACAAGTTCGAGTTTTGTTTTGTGGGGTGAGGGAGCAGACTGTACTAAAGGACTAAAATGATTTCTTGTCTATACTTTCTCACTTGTTTTTATTTTTTAAATTTTTTTGGCGGGAGAGAGGGATGTTCGGGTAAAATTTCATATCCTATCTGGAGTTACGGGGAGGATGGGAAAGCTCAGCCCTTCACCCAAGAATAAGCCAGTAATGACATCTCGACGCGTGGGAAGTGTTTCCCTCAGCTGGGAGGATCTGAGGCTGCACCCCAGTGGGATTCCTTGCTAGAGTTGGAAGGCCACTCAGAGGTAGACGCATATTGTAGCCCGAGTGCGGAGAGTTTGGCTGGGGAGGAAATATCAGAGGGGAGGAACATTCGAAGTCCCAGGGGCTTCCCCCAATTTGGAGGCGCGGGCTGTGCTGTGCATGTGGGACTGAGGAGCCGGGTGACCGCCGTGGCCTGTGCCTTCCGCTGAGGGTCTGACAGGAACGCGACGCTGCTGGGCACCGCGTTTGAGTCCCGGGAGACGGCCCAGCCGTGCCCAGCGAGCTCGCGCCAGACCCTGGCGTCCTCCATCTTCTCTCCTGCGCTCCCCCTGCTCCAGCTGCCTGAGCCGCGGACCGCAGCACCACACACCCCCGCGGGGGGGGACGCCGCGCCCCATCCCCGCCCCCGGCCCCACCCCAGCCCCCCCGCGGGGGCCCTGACCCCACTGCCGGCGGGCACTGGCTGAGCTCCGAGGC